ATATATATGAGGTCACAATCATTATTGACAACTAGATTAAGATGCGTTATTATTTGGGCACAAATCCAAAATAAAATTCTACAAATATTGTGATATTGTGACTTACCTTCATTGTTGGATATCATATCCAATTGTTAAAATTGCCTGTCACCTCTTTGTATTAAAAAAACAATAATATCATAGTATATAATCTCTTTAAGAAACCCATTTAATGCAGTTAATAGTGATAAACACGAATTTTCTATGACACGAATTTGAAAGCGTAGTTAAAAGTGATAAACACGAATATTCTTTAAAAAACCCATTCAATATTTGAAAGCGTTCTTAAAAGTGATACACGAATTTTCAGAAACATTTATTCTTATCGGTTATAATTTGATGTAGAAAAACATTTTTTTTTTTGGGAAGTTGATGTTGATAAACGTGAATTTTGAAAAAAATTATCTCCTTCACTTGAGCTACACAAATTTGAGAGTGTATGGTATGCGCCGGCAGGAGCATACTATAGAAATATCTCACAAGCAAAATTGTATTGGGATTTTTTTTTAATTCAAAAATTTGAGATCCACCTAAGTATTATTAAGAAATATAAAAATTAGATTTTGAGTTCTTGAGCATCTAGAACTTTCCCTTAAAAAATTGAAATATTCTTGTGCATTTTTAGGATGTCATTTTATTAGGCATGTTGAGAGTGGGAATTCAATTTTTTCTATTTCTTTTTCCTTTTGTTTTTTAGATAGGTCTTGGATGCAAAGATAACATGCCCAAAAATTCCAATCCAAAAGATATTTCTAAGACGAGTTTTACCCGAGGGATAGATAAGCAGTATACACCCCTAGGAATCCGAAGTCTTTTGGTTTTTTCTCCAATAAAACGGCCCTAGGGTAGTTTTGACATTTCGGTCAAAGAAGGGCATAAATTTGGGGAAATGTTTTTTCCAAAATGAATGCGAAGCGGGAATTTTTGGCCCTCGATGTTGGCGCTAAAAACGCCTGATTGATGCATTTGAGCGCACAAATGCCGCTCTCTTCTCTGACAATTCCCTAACTTTTATGCAGATTTTCTGATAAAAAAACGGTTTTATGGGTTTTCTAGGGTTTTGATATAGTCGATGCTCTCAGTTTTTTAACATTTATGCAAAAACTTCTATGCATATTGATTTGTTCATGCATTATTTCTAAATTTTTAGTTCCTGGTTTCCTTTTGGGTTTGCAGATTCTTGTGAGTTTTTTTGGTTGTTTAAGCGTTTTTTTTCGTAGTGTGGTAAGTTCTTGTGGTTTTCAGTGTTTGTTCCAGGGTTCTTTATGCTGAGGATTCGCAGGAATCCGAGCTTTGGTAATGGTGAGTCAAACCTGTGCTGTTTATCTGTTTTTTGTACTTCTTGGTACTTTGAATATTTTGTGCATGTCTTTAGGGTTTATCTCTCTGTTTAATATTACACTTAATTCTCTGTTTAATATTACACTTAATTCTTAAATTAATGCTTGGATTTCTATTTATTTTATTTTTCTTGAAAAGCTGGTCAGTTTTTTGTTTTTGGATCAAACTTCAAGTCTGTAGATTTCTTTTTTACTTGTTAGTTATTTATTGAGAAGTAGCTGGGGAAGTTTGGATTTTCTTATTGAAATAGCTGTCAGTACCTTCATTGAAATAACACTGCCATTTTTCTTGCTTGTTCTATTGACATTTTTGAGCCTGTCACATGCAGTGGAAATGAATTTTAAGTTCCTCAAATGCTTCATTTCTAAATATTTGAATGTTGGTATGATAATATTGGGGGGATATTGAGCATATGGGGCATATTCTTGTTGCTGATATTGTGGGGTAACGGGTAATACTATTAGTGAGTGTTGGATAACAAATACAATGGTCGGGACCCGATGGGGTCCCAAAACCGAGTCAGGTCTCCAGTCGGCCGAGTCCAGACAAAATGAAAAAAATATCGAAAACTGGCCAAACTCGGCTGTTGCCACCATTTATCTGGTTCCAGGCCAGGCAAGGTGCTGAGGCAAGTGACTTGCGCTAGTTTAAAATGCTTTTTGTGGAGATTGGTATAAAAAACAGAGAGCATTTTTCTCAAATAATGCACTAGCTACAGTTCATCAGTTTGCATTAAATGTCTTATAGAATTATACATGCATTATTCAGACATTTGCTTGATATGTTATGGTGGTGATGATTGCAACACTATGTCTGAGGTTCGAATCTTACTGTCGAACTACCCAAAAAATAAAAAAGATGTACAAAATCTTCCATAAAAATGCATTATAACTTTTCCAGACACTACAAGAATGTAGACATGGTTGAATTCGTATCTTTATTGGTCGTATATTAACTTGGGTCATTGAAATTTAATTTCTGCCATGGATGTGTTATGATAACACAGTATTTTGCAGTTAACATGCGATTCTGAATAAATTAGTGATTTTAGAATGTTTAATTTTTCCATGAGTAATATTATTTGCAAGAAGACTGTTTTGTGAAGATTTTCTTCTTTTAGCCAACTAATAAATTAATAATTACTTGTAATATTTTAGAGTCACAGAATGTAGTTCTGTGGTGTAAATTAATAGTAATCTCTCATGCCAGAAAGAAGATACAATGCCTAAATGATAAAGTTTCTATTTTATGGAGTTCGTACTTTGAATTGACTTCTATACTACTTAAGTGTGATGATCTCAGTAGCAGTACTCTGGTTTTTCTTCGTTTTTTTGGTTTTCATGACTGGTTTATTTTCTTTTCCAGATTTAACTGTTTCCCTATTTGTTATATTCATGCTCCAAAATAGTTCTATCAAAGAACTGATCATGGTTATTATACATGAGTAGTTTGTGTTTATTATACATGAGTAGTCACTGAAAGTTCTTGATGGTACTTTAATAATTTACAACTAAATACTGGATCAAGTGCATGCGTTTCTAGGGAACTCTATGATTGAAGAACAAAAATTCCTTCCCCTTCCTTGATTGCAAGTCTGGTTTCCTAGTTTCTAATTGCATCATAATTTCCTACTGTGCTTATATTTAATGGTGTAATGAACAGGCTATTGGAACAGCTGGAATTGAGGATTCTGAAGCCCCACATTTTGATCATATGAGGTCTACAGACATGGATATTGCCCCTAAGAAAGGTGAATTTCCTGTGAAAAGAGAAGAGAAGAACCTCGGCATTCACTCACTTGAGACATCTTTGTTTAATGAGAATGATGAAAGAGTAATAAATTGGCCGGATGAACAAATTTTACCCATTTCAATGCAGCTCAACTTGCCCATTGTGGTTAGTGAGGAGATGCAAAGCATGAATATTGACTACACTCGGTTAGCTGATGTCCTTTCTGAAGTGAAAGTTGATGCATTAGAGGTTGAGCAAAGTAAAATGACTAAAGTTGGTGAAAATCTCAATATAAATACCAAAATTTCTATAGGATGCCAATCTGAAAACAAATTTGAGATAACCAGTGATTGGGTTGAAGAATTTGGGATTGAGAAAGTTAATATGGGCGGCAGTGGCTCCATAGACATGCCTGACATGACATTTTTAACTGGAAAAGACTTCAATGAAGGTGCTAATATGGGTTTTGTACAAGATGTAGATGGGTCATATGTGGAGATCAAAAGTTGTTTGCCTGAAAAATTATCTCATTCTGCAGGAAAAATGAAGAATCATGATGCTGAAATTGTTACAATTATGGAGGGGGAAGATAGAGATCGACATTTTTGTTCTTCAACATTGAAAGAACATGACGAGAGGTTGGTGATAGCTGATGAAACCCGGAGTGCTAGCTCTATTGAGGAAGTGTCTTGGCCTTCCTCTGAAGGTCTTGTTGTAGGAAGCGTACTACCATCACAAATTGCACTAGTGGATGAATATCTTGACGGGTTAATTGACTTTGCAGAGGCACAGTCTAAGTATTTTACGGGAGCAGAAGTTACTGAAGAGTCACTTGCTCCTGCCATGGAAAGCCCTAGCTTCATTGAAAAGAAGCAGAATGAAGATGAAGATGTTTTCTATTCTGCTACATCAGTTCCTACCTTGTTTCTCTCACCTCCAAAATTTCAGAAGTCTGCCTCATTTAATTATTGCTCTTCATCTGTTGAGGCTGCTGACATGATATTTAGCTCTCCTCAAGGGCTTGATAGCCAGAGAATGATCATGGAAAGAACCAAAGAGCTTCTTGATTTTGATACTCAGGACCAAGCAATGAATTTATCCTCTCTAGTGTACAAAACTGCCAACCAATTCAATGAGAACATTGATGTTGGTTCAGATGGTAAAATTGAAACCCATTATGTTAGCAAATTGCAGATGGATTCTCCAATGAAAGCAGATTCTATGTGTAGAGTGTTGTTTAGAATTGAGAAATATGATACAAATGTAGAAGAATCAATATTTGATGAATTCAATGATGGGCATATTATATCAAAGTCAGAAGTAGATTACCTCACAGAGGATGACAAAGGCACTGACTCAGAAGAAAATCACTCCACTGAACTCAATAGTGAAAATTCTCAAGAAACTAAGGAAGAGGAACAACAAAATGGCCTGTATTCACCATCCAGTGATGCTACCTCTGAACATTATGGAAGTGGATCTCTTATAGATCAAGATCATCAGCCTGTGGTCAAAAAGACTCTTGATTTTGATCCTTCACTAGGTGTGCCCGGAAGGTTTACTGCCCCATGCTTGGCAAAAGAGATAGAGGAAATCTCTTCTTTTGATGTCTCAGCTGTCTCAGAAGTGGTGGAGCCTAACCAAGAATTACCTTGTGCACCTACTTCTAAGGCCTCTGAAAATTCCTCCACTAAAGCTACTCAAAGTCTCCCTAGTTTTGGAACCCCAGGTGCAAGTTACTTGGAGGATAAAGAAACAACAGCTGACACGCTAATTCCCTCTGACAAAAGCCACATGGAGGATAGAAAAGAAAGTGAGGAAACCATTCTTGAACAGAAGAAAGAGGTACATCCCATTAGCTCATCTATAAGTCATTATTCTTTCTTTACAAAAATGCATAGCTTGACCATGGAATAATTTTTCCATTATCTGTTGCAGGTGCAGCCTAGTTCAGTTTCTGGAGATTCTTCTGTTGGCTGCTGGGGCATATGGAATTTCCTTTGGGAGTTTCTCCATGGAAATAGAAGATAAGATATCCCACTTTTCATAAGTTTTAGCATATGTTTTGTCATCAACAAATTTGCATCGGTTTCTTTGCAAGTCAGAAACTCATGTCTTTGGCCAAATTTGCATAGGTTTCTTTGCAAGTCAGAAAACTCATATGTCTTTGGCCCTTCAGTGGACAAAATCCGACTATATAAAAACAGGTTATGAACAATCTTTCTCAATTCGAATGCTGTGACCCTTCGGGAACCTCACTTCAGGATCACTTGATAATCCAAGCAGTATGGGATAGAACTTCTGGTGGAGCAAAATAAGGATCGGATTAATCTTTTGTCAACCAACATTTGTTTCGATGGTTAAATACTATATTGTCTTTGTTTTGAACCCTTCATTGAACCGTATCTTGGTAAATGTTGACAAACACAAATAGTTATGATAGTCATCCTTAAGAGTTGTTAAGTTTTTGCTTATAATTGATCTCATATTTGGTGACGTCGCCTTTGGTTGTGTATGCATCTTGTCTATTGACTTTATATGTTTCATCATATGTTTATTTTCTTTTTTTGGATTACACCATTGTTATAACTAAATCTGCATGAAAATAGACCCAGTTTTCTTTTTCCTTGTCCTCAGCGATGGAATATTCAGGGTGTTGTTCACCATCATCCATTGAACACTATATGAGGCTTCAGAAAATGGGGCAATAATGTGGTTGGGCATGTTGTAGGATGTTCTTGGGGCAAAGTGATCCTGACGTCAAAAGCCTAGTTCTGTAACACCCTCTAATTAGGGTCATCAGTCATTATTAAAAAAAAAGGAAGAACAAAGAAAAACTACAGAGCACATCAATACACTTAAAAAATCCAGTCAGTGTATTCGACATCAGATTATTTTAGAGGTACCACCTTGGAAATTGCCCTACATGGAAAAGTTAAAAGTGACACAGCTGGAATCCAGGAAGACTGAATTTGGATCTAGAGGGAAAATTTAGCCGCATGAATCGGTGGCTATGTTATATTAAGCAACAATCAATGTATTTCTATGTGATGAGGAGCTCAACTGTGATTTTATTGCGCACTCCATCTCAGTAGTTAAGGGCAAGCTTTCTATGCTTCCCCTACAGCATAAAGCTTATATACTTCCCCTTATCCAACCCTCCATTATGAATGGAGGGCTAAGATTGCCCCAATCACAATGTCACGTCTCTACATTATTTTATTTTTAAATTTTTTCTATAAACTATTTTGACACCAAATTTTGGACACCCAATCCTCTATTAAACTTGCAGTAGTGAAAAATATTAAAAAAATATTTTCAATAAAATAAAATGACCAAAATACCGTGAAAATTTCAAGAGGTATTTTGGTCATTATGTTTTATCGAAAAAATATTTTTAATATTTTTTATAGGTGCTCCCCAATGAGAAGATGGCATGTACCAAATTTCATATTCATACAATTTGTATAAAAAAAACTAAAAATAAAATACTTTGAGATGTCGGATCTAAGATCAAACGGTGAGTGGCTCTCTTGATCAAAATTGGACGGTTGGATGGTAGGGGAAGCATAGATCTTCTATGCTATAGGGGAAGTATAAAAACCTTTCCCAGTAGTTGAAGGAAAAGCGTGTCGCATCTGACGTGCAAAAAATCTGATGACATTTCAAACAATGCAAGGCACCAGGCTGGTTGAATTTTGATTCCTCCAACCTTATGTAACAATCTAAAAACCATCTTCTTTCTATAATTGGTAACTTCACAAGCGGACATGACTAAGACAAGTTGACTGACTCAACTCACACTGTATTTTGAACCACCAATTTCGTTATATATGGCGCATTTTGACATAGAAATTTGTCCCATATGTGTAACTAACTGATCTCATAACTCCAAATGGAAATGTTAGTTCACAACCACAAAAAAAATTACTAATTGGCAGAACCTAAAGTTCGTGTACTTTGCTGTCTATAAGAGCTTTAGACTCGGGCAGTCCAAGTTCAATGGCAATGCTAAACAAACACCATGAATTGATCAAACTAAACCTACAAAACAACACAAACTATGAACCATGTATGACTTGATGGACTTATCAGATTCTTATATATTGTACATGATTGTAAGGGGTAGGAATACGTCATTGTAATTTCCTGTATTCTTTGATGCCCTTTTTTATCTTTTGTGTGTCACTCGGGAGCTCTTATTGTGCATCAATGACTTGAGTATCTCCAAATGGTTTCGTGTTGCCATAATTTGCTTAATGATAATCACTTAAGTCTTTCAAACCCCCAGAAAACAGAAATTACACAATATTTAGATTCTTTCAGCACAATTCACAATGGAATTATATGTGCAAATGTATGTTAAGCGCATGTGCCACAACGTAACTTACATGCAAGGTGACATGGTGTGGTGATCCAACTTAAAGGTCTCTGTCAATGAATGAAGACCATGGGGTATGCTCTGAAGTTGGTCTGTGCTAGTAGGAATTGTCAAAGGTAAGGGAGCTACATTGGTTGCGACAATTTTTTTCTCTTACGCATGAAAGGAATAGAGAGTTTTAAGTTCATTAAGCTATTCAAGTCACGGAATATTCAACTTCCAATGATCAACTTCACTTATGACATTGTGTCTCGGCAATTAGAACTGGGCATTTTTTCTTATGAGATTGTCAAGCAAATCATGCATGTTCCAGCTTTGAATTTTTTTCCATTAATAAAACAATCTTCTGTTTTCCTTTTGGGGAGTTGAATCAGTCTATTCACTAGCCCAAGAAAAAAGGAAAAACAGAGCACTATATTCTCGTATCTTAGTCAGTGTTCTTGTTGAACTATGAAGTGTCATTATTTCTCAATTACTTATATTGTCCATATTTGTCTACAGTCTTGTCTCAAGTCTCCCTGAATTGATGGGGAAGCCATGGTGAGACATATGGAAGTTATGTACTCATTCATCATGGAGTATACATAAGGGTGTTTTCGAATATTTATGACTTGTTTGCGTTTGGGTCTTTGCAATGTAACAAAGTAGAACTTTTATGCTATCAGATACCCAGGAATATGGAAGTATGCCCTTACCAAAGAAAAGACAGGTCTTCTAGTGTTTGTAATTCTGATTTTTCTGAATATGGAGATCGAGTTAGGTAAGCATCATCATGGTTAGGGAGAATGAATAAACAAAAGTGTATTTTGTCATATCGAAGTGTTTATGGTCCAGGTAATCAGTTTTCTAAGCACAATTTGGATGTGACTATTAGAGAATCCCCATTTCGAGTCTTGTGCAGTTTATTTGATTGCTAGAATGTATCCACTTGGACTCGGGCAAGTTGTTGGGGTTCGCCCTATGAGCGAGGCTGAGTTCCTCGGCAACACGCCCCACCCTTATAAATGTAGTGAAAATTATAAAAAAGTAGGCAAAAAAATGTAGAAAATAGGAAACAACACTTTATTTGTTAGATATAAGTTTTTAGATGATTTTCGTAGTTTTTAAGATGATTTGAGATGTCTTAGTTTTCCCGTTTTTTAAATTTTTTCTAAAATATTCAAAATCTAAATCCAAATCTAAATTTTCTATAATCCATATATTTATAGATATTTTTCCATATTTTTAGTCTTCTAATGTTGTCTGTTACCTCTTTTATTTTTTCTTATTTTTCATTATTTTTAGAAATTTTACCGTTTTTATATTTTTTTGACCTTTTTTTGGTCGTATGTGAATCGTCAAATCTCAAGAATTGTTGGAGGGTACTTTATCTATTTTTGTGAATGTGAAGGGCATTTTGGCCATTAGTTAAAAAGGTTGGGAACACAAAAACACTAGCAAAGTAGCAAAGTACACTACAGTGTAATGGACCACTACTACTAGATCTTCACCCTTGATTGAAATGATCTATGGTGAGATTTTAATGGACTATAATTGTCATTTCAAAACAAGCAAAGGACATGTTTGAAACTCTGAAAATGTTCAGCTACCCCAAACGAATCGTCCAAGCCTATTCACGAGCTTGAAATAATTTCGCTACACGTGTCTAACCTCAATTGGTCCTTCTACCTCTCCCTTCGTGTGGCTTCTCTTTTTAAAGACTGAAACCCTAAGGCAAAGCTCCATGTCTTCTCGTCTCTCTATTTGAGCTTAGCAGCTATTATTTTTGCAAAGGTTTGGTTTTTATCTGCTTTTCTATTTTTTAAACGCAACTCCTCTTTTTATTTTATGTTTTCTTTTTATGGATATTTTATTTTCTATTGCATTTCACAAAATTTTACTTGGTTTTGATGTGCATATACTTGATGGATTTTGTCATAGTTTTTTCTTCTTCTTTTTTTCCCTCATATTTTTTTTGTTGCAATAAGATGAAGACAATAAATTTATTGTATGTTGGTTTCTTTTTTATTTTGTCATTAGAATTGGACTAGCGCTATGTAATCAATTGTGTTAATTTTTATTTTTCGTTTCATGAAAATGGGATTAGCAATGCTTATTCAATTATTTGTTGGCTTTTTTTTTCCTTTTATTTTGTTTCTCTAATTGGGGTAAAGAAAACATACTTAAGTACATATTGGGTTTTTTTTTATTTTTGTTTATATTTTGTTTCATTAGAATGAGATGAAGAAATTGTAAATGGATGGCTCCATCTTTGAGTCTACAGTGGTGAGCTAATCAATGGCATTCTATCTGCCGCTTGGAGCCTAAAGAAAATCCTAGCCAGTCTGAAGATTGCTTGAAATCCTCTTTTTTTTATTTTGGGCCACAATAGCTGGCAACATTTGTCATAATTTTATTAAGAAATTATCCCATATTTCACCTCTTAACATAAGTTTTTAACTATTATCCTAATTTTTATTAATAACTTATCCCAATTTTTCACTGCTTGAAGCCCATGTTTAACCCATTTATTTATTTTGGATTAGCACACATGTATGCCATAATTTTACCTGAAACGCCTTTTGTAACTCATTCTGTGACTCATGGATGAACATAGCATAACCCATATTCCCTTTTTCTTTTTTTATTCTATTATCCCTTTTGTATCAAAATGCTTGATTTTTATTTTTTAAACAGATTTATTCCAGTAATATCATTTTCATATTTTTTTTAACCCCATAATATTATTTGGATAGTTAATTTTCTTCATAGAGAATATCTTTTACATGAGTTTTTTTTTTTTTTGGCTTTGTTTTGTTTGTTTTTAGCTTTAGGCAAATTGAGGTAATCTTTTGTGCTCTTCTTTAAGATATTATGTGCTTTTCATGGCCCTATTTCAGACACGGGGGTTTTGTAATTTTTTTACATGCCACCCTTTGCATAGTGCCAATATCAATTTGTTGTATGGTTTTGCTGATACACGATTGTAAGGAGTGGGCCTTAATCAACATTCCTTGCAAATTAAACTCAGCTACAATCTAATCTTGGCTTTTTATTTTTGAAAAAGTTGTTTGTTTGTGCATTTGCCTGTCTTTCTTTTTTTATGCTTTAATCCTCCTTATAAGAATTCAAATAG